AAGAAAAATAGAGATCACCATATATTTTAAGTCTATGCTGTTGGAATTAGTGCAGCTTCTGATGTTGCCATTGGGCCTGTTGTCTAACATTCTGCGATCATTGGTGTTTAGGCCTGTGTATCTTGGAAAGGCAAAATTATTTTATGAATTTAACTCGTAACTCTAGAAGCAAGAACTTTTTGAATTAAGCAAGATTTTTTTTAAAATTAAGCAGTAATCTTTTAAGTTTGTAAATATTAATTAAGCTTTCATTGTTCTTTTACTACAAAACAGTACATAATTTTAAAAACTTCTTCTTTGTTGTAAGTAAAGAAGAGAAGAAGGAATTGATGAGTATTATTTTGATGAATAATGAACTCCTTATGTAGTGATACAAGATGAGGATTTAGCTCGGGGAAAAAGTATAAGTAAATCTTGGTGAACAAGACTTTCCATAATTAATATTACAATAAATATAACACTTCGCCTTGATATCTATTATGCGCGTAAGATGATGCCTCGTTAAAAACCTTACCAGAAAAACCTAATAGGAAAAACCATGGCTAAGGGAAAAAAGAGTGCAGCGCGCAGTAACTTCCCCTAATGTATACATACGTCAAGATCCTTGAGACGACATAATCCAATAAGATAAACCAACTTCTTGAAAGTAGCAGTGGGTAGAGCCTTGGTGAATAAGTCAGCCAGATTGTCACTTGAACGAACTTGAACAACACGAACATCACCACTCTTCTGCAGATCATGGGTGAAATAGAACTTCGGTAGAATATGCTTTGTCCTATCTCCTTTGATGTATCCATCTCTGAGTTGTGCGATACATGCAGCGTTGTCCTCATACATGATTGTTGCAGCTTATTTTTCTGTAGATAGACCACAATCTTCTCGTATATGTTGAATGACAGATCTTAACCATACACATTCCCGGCTAGCTTCATGAATGGCTAAAATCTCTGTGTGGTTGGAAGAAGTAGCTGCAATGGTTTGCTTCATCGAACGCCAAGAGATAGCAGTTCCACCACAAGTAAACACATATCCGGTATGTGATCTAGCATTGTGGGGGTCAGACATGTACCCAGCATCTGCATAACCAATCAAATCTTTTGTGGATGGGTTAGGAAAGAATATACCCATGTCTTTTGTACCTTGGAGGTAACGAAGTATATTTTTATCCCACTCCAATGCCTACGAGTTGGACATGAACTAAACCTTGCCAATAGATTCACGGCAAATGATATATCCGGTCTTGTATGACTGGCAAGGTACATTAATGCCCCTATTGCACTTAAGTATGGTACTTCAGGACCAAGAACTTCTTCATTCTTTTCTTTAGGACGGAAGGGATCTTCATTCACATCAAGTGATCTCACAACCATAGGATTACTCAAAGGATGAGCTTGATCCATAGAAAATTGTTTAGCCACTTTTTCCGTGTAAGTTTCCTGATGCACTAAGATTCCATTTTTTTGAGGTGCTCAATTTTTAGTCCCGAACAAAACTTTTTTTTCCGAGATCTTTCATCTCAAATTCTTTCTTCAAGTATTCCATGGTAAGTGAAATCTCTTCAGGAGTTCCAATGATGTTTAAATCATCAACATACACTGCAATTATAACATATCCTTTCTCAAATCTCTTTATAAAGATGCATGGACTGATAGGATCGTTTTATAGTCTTCTTTCAACAAGTACTCACTCAGGCGATTATACCACATACGTCCTATTGTCTCAATCCATAAAGAGATCGATTTAACTTTATGCAATAATTTTCTAGAGGATTAGAATTTTCTGCTCCTGGCAGTTTAAATCTTTCTGGAACTTTCATGTAAATATCGATATCCAGTGGGCCATATAAGTAAGCTGTGACTACGTCCATTAAACGTAAATCAAGTCCTTCTTTTATCGCCAGACTGATAAGAAACCTGAATGTAGTAGCATCCACCATAGGAGAGTATGTCTTTTCATAATCAAAATTTTGTATTTGTGAAAACCCTTGTGAAACTAAACGTGCTTTGTATCTTACAATATCACCATTTTAATTCCTTTTTCGCACAAAAACTCATTTATATCCCACTGGTTTTACACCTTTAGGTGTACGGACTACAGGTCCAAATACTGCTCTCTTCGCAAGAGATTTTAATTCAACATTTATTGCTTCTTTCCATTTTGGCCAATCACTTCTTCGTGTACACTCTTCAATAGATTTTGGTTCATGATCCTCATCCATAAGATCAACTGCTATATTGTATGCAAATATATGATCGACGTCGATTTGCTTTCAGTTCAATTTTATCCCAGACATGACATAGTTAGTTGAGATCTCTTCATTATCAGGTACCTGAATTTCTTCTTGTGTCATGTTCTCTTCTGGAGATTTTTCATTTGTAGTTATTGCCTAGGTCTCGTTATTGCCAATTTATGCTCCTTTTCTTTTTCGAGGATTTTGTCTTGGAACCGATAGGTCTACCACACTTCAGACGTGTTTTAGACTCATTAGCAGGTTGATTTTGTCCTTCTTGGACATTCATTCTAACTAGAGCATTTACAGCTGGGATATGTGACTTGGTCACTCTTTTTGGATCAGTAAATGTGTCTGACAACTGGTTTGCTAAGCTTTGTAAATGAATTATCTTTTGGACTTCTAAGTCACATTCTTTAGTTTGAGGATCAAGATAAGACAATGATAATTCATTCCGGTTATATCTTTTCCCAACTGTTTATTCTTTTCCCCTAATGGTGGGAAAACAGATTCATTAAAATGACAGTCTGCAAATCGGGCCTTAAATAAATCTCATGTGGATGGCTCTAAATACTTGATAATTGATGGAGAATCATATCCAACATATATTCCCAACCTCCTTTGAGGTCTGATTTTAGATCGTTGTGGTGGAGCAATTGGAACATATACTGCACATCCAAATATCCCAAGATGGGAAATATTTGGCTCTTGGACCATAAGAAATTGTGATGGGGAGAATTGATGATTACTTGTTGGCCTTTTGCGGATCAATTCTGCTGCATGTAATATAGCATGCCCCATGCAGAGACTGTGAGTTTTGATTTCATAAGCAATGGTCTAGCAATCAACTGAAGACGTTTAACTAACGATTCAGCTAAACCATTTTGTGTGTGAACATGTGCTACAAGATGTTCAACACTTATTCCAATAGACATGGAGTAATCATTAAAAACCTGAGACATAAATTCACCAGCATTATCTAGGTGAATAGCTTTTAGCAGAAAGTCTGGAAAATGTGCTCGTAATTTGATCAATTGAGCAAGTAGTCTCGCAAACGCTAGGTTTTGAGTTGATAGCAAGGAAACATGTAACCATCTTGTTGATGTGTCAATAAGGACCATAAAGTATCGAAAGGTTCCACATGGTGGGTGAATCGGCCCACAAATGTCTCCTTGAATACGTTCCAGAAAATTGATTGATTCATAAATTATCTTGGCTGGTGAAGGCCTTATGATAATTTTTCCTTGTGAACAAGCAGCACATGAATAATAATTAGGAATCATCTTATGGTTATTCAGTGGGTGCCCACATGAATTTTTGATTATCTTTCGCATCACTGTTGAACCATGATGTCCTAACCGTTCATGCCAAACAGTAATATTTTCAGTAAACGTATGGTTTACTATGGCATTTGCCTCAATTGTATTAATCTTGGTGTAATACAATTCAGTGGAGAATGCTGGTAGTCTTTCTACTATTTTCTTAGAGCCATGAAAAATACTTGTGATATGAAGAAATTCAATATTTCCTTCATTCATTGTCTCAATATGATATCCATTTCTGCAAATATGTTTGAAACTCAATAAGTTTCTTTGAGACTTAGGGGAATACAATACATCAACTATTTCAAATTGTGCTCCCATAGGAAGTATTATATTTTCTCTTCCAGAGCCTTCGATTATCTTTGCATTTCTTGTTATAGTGCTCACACTTGCTTCTCTATTTATCAAATGAGAGAAATATTTCTTATTTTTCAGAATTATGTGACTAGTTGCACTGTTTGCCAAGTATAAATCTCCACCATCCATTTCTATTAGCTCAAAACCGCTAGAACTTTGTGCTGATAACGTGTTGTAAATAGAGAAGAGAGAAGAAGGAATTGATGTATATTATTCCATGAATAATGAACTCCTTATATAAGGATACAAAATGAGGGTTTAGCTCGAAGAAAAAGTACAAATAAATTTTAGTAAACAAGACTTTCCATAATTGATATCACAATAACTATAACATTCTTAACTTTAATCAACATTACTTTTGTATATTTTTCAAAAAAGGTAAAATAAAAAACAGGAAATTGGAATATAGAAAAAACCCAAACCGAAGCTAACACAAAAGTAATAAAAAGCAAAACACGAAGTCAATAATAGACAAAAACCAAAACCAGAAACATAAAAAGTAGCAAAAGCAAGGTTCTTGAGATACTATATATATATGCATTCACGTATCAACTTCGGTTATCTAGAAGTTTATCTGGAATGGACTGTCACGTAGATTACGGCATATGTCGACGATGTGTTTTATAAGGGTAGAGTTTATTTACTCTTTTTTTACCTTTGTTATATTTGACCAAACCAAGGCAGACGAATACATTTGTTTTGTTTTGTACTTACAGTGCCAAACCAAGATACAATGGTATTTTTTGATGATAAGCTTTTTTATTCTAATTACTTACAGTGCCATGGACGTCAGTAATGATTTGAAATTTAATGTTATCATGCATTTTTGTTTTAAGAAATCAAAATGTACATGTACGTATCTATCCTTTTTTAAACACATAAGTGTTCATCTATCCATTCTATTAAGTTTACATATATTTGCTACTATAGGAAAATATCCGTTTAACATGGTAAAGCTTTCGCATCTTTTTTTCTCTGTAGATATATATATATATATATCTAAGCGAATAAAGCCTTAGCTTCGACAATATATGTTCTTTGAATAGTAAATACATTGAATCATATGATTTAGCTCTTTTCGTTCTTAATATATGCAGAAGAAGACTTGGATCTTAAATTTCTCGGTGTTCTTTCTCCATATCTTTACATCTTCGAAAGCATTGGATGTTACTCAATTCGGAGCCATTGGAGATGGAGTCACAGACGATTCTCAGGTAAAAGATAGATTCATAGTTGTAGTGTAAATAAATGTTTCTTCACAATACATTCAAAAGATCGTAATGTTGAAATCTTTTATCTATTATATTTCTTGAAAGGCGTTCTTGAAAGCCTGGGAAGCTGTCTGTAGCGGGACAGGGGATGGGCAGCTTATTGTTCCAGCAGGGATGACATTTATGTTACAGCCCTTGAAGTTTCAAGGTTCTTGCAGATCGACCCCTATTATTGTTCAGGTACTCTGTTTTTCCTTTTTTGCTAGTGGATTATTATCTTGTCTGGCACTAATGATGAATATACTGATTTAATTGTAGGTTTTGGGAAATTTGGTTGCATCGAGTAGAGGTAACTGGGAAGGAGACAAAGATCAATGGATTCTCTTCTCAGACATAGAAGGGCTTGTGGTTGAAGGCAACGGCGAGATTAACGGCCAGGGTTCTAGCTGGTGGGAACACAAAGGCAGTTCTAGACCAACCGTAAGGATCACTTGGGCTTTCTTTTTTTTTTTCCATATTTTTTTATAGATCCTTTATTTTCTGTGATATAAGGCTTTGAAATTCAAGAGCTGCAACAACCTTAGACTAAGTGGACTAACGCACGTAGATAGTGCAAAGGCTCACATTCACATAAACAATTGCAACGGTGTGAGCATCTCAAATCTCCGGATAAATGCACCGGAATCAAGTCCTAACACTGATGGAATCGACGTCGCAGTTTCATCCAATGTTATCATCCAGGATTGCTTAATCGCCACCGGTATGAAAACTGTCTCTTAAACTCTCTTTGGAGTCTTGTGTAAATTTTAAAATCAGAAACAATTAAAAAGCAGAAAGAAAATAATTTTAAAGTCGGGATGCTGTATGAATGCAACTATATATACGTCAAAATAAACGGTCCCTCGAATGTCATATCCAATAATGTCATCTGCAGTCATTATTCATCATCGGTTCGTTATGAAAATGACGTTGTAATGATTATAGGTGACGATTGCATTGCGATAAACTCAGGGACGTCTAACATCAGAATTTCTGGTATAGATTGCGGACCAGGTCATGGAATAAGGTTAACCAATCAAGATTCTACTGTAAAATGTTACTTATAAATTATGACATCTTTAAAAATCATCTATATGTGAAATATTATAGCATAGGAAGCTTGGGAAAAGATGGAGAGACAGCTTCAGTGGAGGATGTATGTGTCCAAAACTGTAACTTTAGAGGGACTACTAATGGGGCTCGGATCAAAACCTGGCCGGTAACGCAAGACGGATTTAATCTCATTTAGTAATTCATCAAAAATTTATAATTGTTATGTTAGATAATTCTCTATAATATGCAGGGAGGATCAGGTTACGCACGAAGGATTACTTTCAGTGGAATTACCCTAGATAATGTCGAAAATCCGATCATAATCGATCAGCATTACAACAATGGAGGTTCTGAGGAAACCACAGATGATAAGGTACATACAGTGAAGTTGCATTTGATTAGAACATAAACAAATATGTTACACTTCGACCGCAAGATTGTTCATGATGAGAAAATGTATATTGTTTTAATTTCACTTTTATCAGTCATCTGCGGTGGAAGTAAGCAAAGTTGTGTATAGTAATTTCGTGGGGACGTCCAAGTCAGAGTACGGCGTTGACTTTAGGTGCAGCGAAGCTGTACCATGCACAGAGATTTTTATGAAAGACGTGAAAATAGAAACGGCATCATCAGGATTAGGACAAGTCGCGCAAGGACAGTGTTTAAACGTGAGAGGTGTGTCCACCCTTGCCGTACCAGGTTTAGAATGTTTAGCACTTTCCACAAATATGTTTTCATCGTCGGAGTTTCCAGAACAAACTTGTATGCTGCCGCAACCATCAGTGCAACCAAATACACGTCCGATGCAAGATCCACTATGGGTATATGGAAGCGGAGGGAAACGACTCAGAGTTTTTAATCTTGTATTAAATTCATTTATCTTTGTGGTTTTATATATGTTTTAGGTTAATCAAATATTTCAAAACACATATTCCGTGAGTCGAGACGATAAATTATTTAGTTTTCATTTTTTTTGTCACAACCAAGATTCAAGCATTTACTCGGCTTAATTACAAAGTGCACATAGATCACCACAATGTATGGGAATGTAATTGTCCATCGAGATTAGAAGATGTGTCTTACTACAAAAAAAATTGTTATGAACTTATGACTAGTCTGGGAATGAAAATAAATAAATAAACAATTGCTTTGTTTACGTATTAAGTTTGTAAGTTTGTGCCAAGGAAACACTGGAGCTAAATAAATAAAAAATACTAACTCGCAAAAGGAAAGAGAGAAACCAGAGGACACCAAAAAAGGAAAGTCACGACTGGGTAAAGCTGGTTTAACCAGCAATTCAAATCAATTTTCCATAAAATACTATTGTGCAGTTAAAGATTTGGAAAATCCTATTCCTAGGTTAGATTTGACAATAAATAGGGAGAGAGAACGCTTTCCGACATCAGTTTGAGACGCTTTAGATAGAAGAAAAACAGAGATTTATTGGAATCTTCGACGGATTGCTAAGGTATGTCATCTAGAAATCGGAAGATGATAAGAAGAGAACTTCCTTTCGAATTAGTGGTGGAAGTACTCGCTAGGGTTCCTGTTAGGGACTTAATACGGTTTAGATGTGTCTGCAAAACTTGGCGTTCATTGTTCCAAGACGAGCACATGATTCATGCCCCAACGAGTATTTTGTTGTTCCGTCTTTAGTTGGTCACTGCCATGGACTGTTTTGCTTTTGTTTTAAACATCATACTTTTGGTGTTTGGAACCCGTCACTAAGAGAACTAAGAAAAATACGCACACCTGATTTCAGTGACTGGTCTGAGATGTGTTTTGGGTATGACCCCTCAAGTCAAGATTATAAGATTGTATTGGTTCTTAAAACGCAAGGCAGCCACTCTGAAGCAGTTGTGTTTTCCTTAAAGTCATGTGTGTCTTGATTTCCCGGACATTGGCATGCTCCACACTAGAGTTCCTGGAACACTGGTTGGTGAAAATATCTACTGGCATGTGTATGATGATGAGGTAAAAGTAACTGATATAGTTTTGGGCTTTGATTTGGTGTTATAGACTTTCAAATTCTACCCAAGTCCGAGTAATTGTGGTAAAGGATTTCCTGAAGTTATAGCGGGCGGGTTGAGAGGAGGAGGTTGCAAATCTTGGAGCAAGATTTGCATTCTCTCGTGTGACATTCTTGAAATCTCGACTAGTTTTCCTGTCGATCACATTTACCTAGTGACTGCGATAACTTATGCAGGATTGCTACTAGTTTTAGTAGATATTGATGGAAAATAATCAATTGGTAGAGAAAAACAAGATTGGTTGCGTACAACTTAGAGGAGAAAAGTTTGACAAATGTTGAGACTGGTTTGTCCCTCTACCTGTGGGAGTCTTGTGACGTATGTTGAAAGACTTGTCCTATTCGTGGATGGTGGAAACTTTAAAGGTTTTTGAGCTCTTTATTTTGTTTTGTTTTATCTATCACTACAAGAAAAATGAGTTCTAATAGCAGACGAGGATAACGTTTTTTACGATTGTGCTATGGCTGATATACCCGTGTTTTTAAGATAGCGTTTGTATTTTCAGAAACGCTATGATAGAGTGATATATTTAGAAACGCTATGAAACTTAGGATTTAATAGCAAAACATAATTAAACGTTATGCTTGCCTTTTGAATCCCNAACTTTAACTATAGACTCGAAATGAAAAATTTATAAAATTATTACATCAAGTTTAAAATATTAAATTTATTTACATATGTAATTTAAACTAATTATTTATAAATCTTAAATTTATTTACAAATATACTTTAAATAAATGCATTTGTGTGGATTTTTAGATAAAAATGAAATTTAGCCACTTTGTTAATCTTATATATATATCATTAAATTTATAAATGTAAATGATAATTTAATTTTTATATACATAAAATTAGTTAACAATAAAATTGTAATTGCTAAAACAATTATTAAATAAACACAGTTTTTGATTGATTACTTTCAACCATTGATTGTTTTTAATCCAATGGTTACAAATCAATTTTACTCAATCCTTATCCTTTCTCCTAATATATCAAAATTAGGATTACAATTTGTAGCCATTGATTGTTTTGATCTTGTGGCTAAGATCAATCTTTTTTCTCATGATTCTTTTTTTTCTCTCAACTCTCTCTTGTTCGATACAAAATTAACAAAGGCTTTTCTTCTCCTTCGCTTGAGAGTCCCTCTGGTTCATCCCCTCGAAGCTTTGTCATTCACAACAAACCATCCCGATGCTTCCCCTGCTATCTCTCTCTCTCTCTCTCTCTCTCTCTCTCTCTCTCTCTCTCTCTCTCTCTCTCTCTCTCTAACGCTTCCCCTACTGTTAGATTTGTTTATTTTTTAGATTTTGTAGTAGATAAATATATATTGTCTTTCCAGATCCTTCAGAGATGACGAGTTATGAACAGAGATGGCACAGGAACGTCAATAAGAAGGTAGAAGACAGAAAGGTGGAGCACCAGAAGTGACGACCCGAGCTTCTCTTTGGTGAAACAAAGAAGACAGTGGAGCACCAGAAGTGACGACCCGAGCTTCTCTTTGGTGAAACAAAGAAGACAGGGGAAGAGGAAGACAGTGTTGGTCATGGGGTTTGTTGTGAGGAGGCGATGGAGAGTCTGGTGGTCGTGAGCAGAGTGGAGGTATGGGGATTACGGCGATGATGCGACGGAGAAGCTGGTGTCGTGAGAAGAGGTGCTGAATCCATGGCAGGTTTGTCGTTGATGGAGGTGGTTGCCGGCGGCGGGGTTAAGAAGATGACGTGTTTTGTTATTAGGTTTAGTTAGCAAATAGGTTTAGCTTTTGGTTTATTTGGTTTAAGCTTGGTTTAGTTTTGGTTTATTTTTTCCATGTAAACCATTTGTAATTCATTTTAATTNGTGTCGTGAGAAGAGGTGCTGAATCCATGGCAGGTTTGTCGTTGATGGAGGTGGTTGCCGGCGGCGGGGTTAAGAAGATGACGTGTTTTGTTATTAGGTTTAGTTAGCAAATAGGTTTAGCTTTTGGTTTATTTGGTTTAAGCTTGGTTTAGTTTTGGTTTATTTTTTCCATGTAAACCATTTGTAATTCATTTTAATTTATAAATTATAATTTTGATATATTACATTTTTAAACGAAAAAAAAAAATATATATATATATATATATATATATATTTTTTTAATTTTCAATAATATAAATAATAACAAAAAATAAATGCTATCAATTTTTTTTTAATTACATATAGAAAAACGTCATAATATATGAGAATAAGATAGCAGCGCAAAAAACCGCTATTTAAAGTGTCATACCTACTATGACGGGCGATGATACAACGTTTCTTAAACCGCTGTTGAATCGTTAGATAACGTTTTTCGTCCGCTAATAAAAGCCATTTTTCTTGTAGTGTATCTATTTGCATCAAGGACAGACAATAATTAATTAACAACATATCATTCTAATCTGTTTGTCTTTTTCCATGGATATTTAGTTTTCAATCATGTCAAGCATTTTTCCTCTGCTTCTTCTTTCAGGGTTGTAATATACTAATCATCCATGCCATTAACGTAATGTCTTTTCTTGTATTTTTTCTAGACATTAGTCATTAGATCGGTCATGGTAGGTAAGATGTTCTATTCACATTACAGGTTCGTGAGAGGGAGAATACTAGATAAATGATGTTCTAAGAAAAAGGTGCTGGTTTCGTTTCTTAGGGCACCCCCATTAATGAACTGATGGGGGAGAGGTTCACAAGAATAGAAAATCAATTTTTTTTTTTCGGTTGCTTTCTAGAAAAAAAAAAAAAAATTATTAATGGATCAATCACGGGCCGCCACGTGTCGGTGGGGCTCGTGAATAGTGTTGATACGGGTTCAGTGGGGTGAACTTATGTGACACGGGTTCATGAGCAACAGATTAATATATTAGTTTTTTTTTTAGGATTTGTGTGACCCCCTCCTTACAACTCTCAATGCAGTTGCTCTTACCCTCTGTATCCAGTTGCATGGTCTCAGTGCTGATGGACAATTTTGGCTTCATCGGCACCATATAACGGGCCGAGCTGTAGGGTAAGTAATCTTCTATCATCAAGGTACGATCTTTTATGACTGCGCTTTTGTATATGGTATAAACTAGTCATTGGTGATTAACTTATAACTAGATCTCAATCCGCGCAACCGCGCGGGGTTTTGTTTTCATTTATTTTTATATAAATATTTTGGATTCACTCCTAAATTAGTATATATTATATGATGTGTATATATCAATTTTTTAAAAGATAACAATTTTACCATATATTAGTTTTCATTGAATAAATTATTACAAACTTTCACATATATTTATATCGTCTTCTATATATATATATATATTTTTTTTTTTTTGGATTATTATTTCATTATGGAACTCTTAAATATATGTAAAAGTTGGTAAAATATTGTTTTGTTGTCATCTCTAAAGATATTGTAACATTTTTCAAAATTTATAAAGTTTACCAAAATTTTAAATGTTAGCTTCATATTATGGAGTATATAATTAGACAATTATTTTTTGTTAACTTTTAAAGTAAAGTATATAATTTAAAATTTGTTTTCATTGGTTTAAGGCAGTATAGATTAATTATTGTTAGAAAATGATGATTTTGTATTTTTAAAAATAAACTATAAAATTTAAAAGTTAGCATCGAAAATATATAAATAATTAACTTATACTATTACAACATTAAATTATATAAACTTAATTTAAACAAGTATTTTATTATACTATCCATAAATCTAATGTATCGTCTAATTATTATTAGCCCAATAAATTTTTTTGGTAAGTCCAATAAATGTTATAAATGCACCCAATAAATGTTATTAATGATTGAATAGTGTAATGTTATAAATTCTAGTAGATGGTCCATTTTGAAATATCACACATGAAGTGAAGTCATGACTTCTCTTTTAATATATAAGATAATAATATGTCAGTTTATTAACATTAAAAAAAACATCAACCTAGTGGAAGTGCCATTGTTTATTAAAGCTAAAACTTTAAACACTAGATAACAATATGCGCCTTGATGTGATTATTAATTTTTATTTTTTAATAAGGAAATATTAAATTTGTTTAATATGAATGTGTTTGAATTGATTTTTCTGGTTTTAATCTCCTAAAATATAACTATCATTCTAAATCAATATTTATTTTGATTTATTCAGATAAAATATTTGATGTATTTAATTTTTCTGGTGATAACCAAAAGCTATTATTATTAATTTTTTCATGTTATATAAATATTAGATAGCTCTGATGTCAAACCAGTGGTTTCATATTACGGTATAGAAAAAAAATTATTAAGACAAATCAATTCACTACAATTTGGTCAATAATGAAAAAAAAATATTAAGAAAAAATATTTCAACTTTTACGAAAATTAGATACTTCATATGTTGTGAATATTTAGTTATACGTCAACGCTACATATGTATGTGTATGTAAGCGTATATAAAGTGATTAATAAATATATAAAAATACCGTTAGTTAATTTTAAAATATATTTCTGTTTAAAATAACACATGAAAGATAAAAAATTTAAAACAAAATTAATTAAAAATAAATTAGGCCAAAACATACGTGAAATTTTTTTCATATAACGAACATCAAATTGTATCCTTAAATAATATATACATATATATAATTGGGCTTGCTGAAACGTGTACACACATTCGTAATTAAAAAAATAGTTTGGTACTTACCATTAACAATCGACAACTGAAATGGATTTTAGGATTTCGTTCGCAAAATTTTATTTCTTCACTTGATCCTTTCGAATTCATCACTGGAAGTTCTTTCTATGTCTCTATATTATTTTACTCGATTCTTCATTCACGAAATTGTATGTGAGTTTAGTATTAATAAAAATAGTGAAATAATTGTATAAGCGAATTTGAAAGGTTTATGAAGGGGAAGACATATCAATTTGTTTCTTGTAAATTGTATTTTATGTGAAAACTTATATAATCCATGGAACCCTGTATGTTAAGTTTTAAGTTTTATATTGAAAAAACCCATAAAATTAATAATGTAAACATATATATATATATAGAGTTTTGCTAAGAAGCTTTGTATATGTGACACATTAGTGTATTCATACTTAAATGGTTTAAAACTACTACATATCTATTATAGTCACTACAAGAAAACATGTGGATACTGACGGACAATATCGTTAGAAATTCGTCGGAATAGATACATTTTGACGAATTACTGATGAAAGTGATCGTCGGTATCATTTCATCGG